GTTTATTTCGATTTTTTTGGTTGTTAGGAGGTTGGTCGAATTGACTGATCCCATTTTGAGATAGGGTAGAATAAATAACAGATAAACTATAAAGTTGTACTGAAAAAAAAAGGTTGAAATGCATTTAGGAGGTTTTAGGGATTACACAAAGGAAATTTGAGATGAGGAAAAGTATTTTTAATTTTAACATGAAAATTACTTTTCACACAGACTATTCAAAACAAATACTCAGTATATTCATAGACAAATCTTTATTTTATTAAAAATACTTCACTGAAAATATGATTTTCAGTATGTGAAAGACTTGTAATATTAACTGAAAGACTGCCTAATTTTGTGAAGATATACACACACTATATTAAAATTTAGAAGTATTAAATCTATAAAGACTTTAAATGAGTACAAAAAGATCACGTGATCAGCCAATATTTAGAGAATTAATGGATATCAAATCAGCTTCTATCATGTTATGCCTGGTTTGTATATATTAATAATTTTCCAGAGTTTTGCACACAACTAGCATATTAATACTTCTAATGGATAACTGTTGGTAATATTAAACAAATGTTAATTTTTAAGAGAACAGTTTATTGAATTGTAGAGTCAAAACAAACAATGTATTGTTTTTACAGCTGGAGTCGAGTCTTACATTATGTTATGGAAGTTGATCGCCCAATTTCTCAACAAAAAGGATCTAATAGTCATTCAAGTACTTCAAGTTTAAAAGTAAGAACTTAATCCTCATGAATTGATTAATTACATAATTTTACATCTTTATATAATGACTGTCATGTTATACTGTCTTGGTAAGTTATTGTAGTGTTGGATTTTCTTGGTATGAAGATTGCATTGTTGCATTTTCTCAGTAAATTATAGTAGTTTTGAATTTTCCTAGTATAAGTGATTGTAGTGTTGGATTTTATCAGTATAAATCATTGTAGTGTTATATTTTCTCGGTATAAATTTTAATCTTTAGACTCATAATTACTATCCCTATTTATATTATCCTCCTCAAATTACCCTGAATTAGGTTCTTGTAAAATAACCACATTTTTACACAGACTGAAATATTTGCACAATGCTGCCATCTTGTAGCTATAATGGTAATCAAAATGAGCCACTGCAGCTCAAGTGACTTTTAACTTTTGGGAAACATTTTCCATTATTCACAAGAGAGCAGGGCACACATAATCATTGTTTAATGCTAAGGGACTGTTTACCTCTACACTCGCATGTAGTTATAGCCCCATTTGCTGATTGACATGTTAATGTGTCAGTAGTACCAGAATACTGGAAATAATTGATGTATTAACACGTCATTAGCAGCAAATGTGCAGACTTTCTTTACTGCTAATACTTTACTCACAAATATAATAGCATATGAAGAGAGAAAAGTATTGGGTTATGTAAGGACTTACTTCCCTCCTAATGTTTCACTCACAACAATAATAGCATATGAAGCGAGGGAAGTCTTAAATGATGTGAGGACTTACTTCACTCCTAATGCTTCACTCACAACAATAATAGCATATTAAATGAGGAGAAGTCTTGATTTATGTGAGGACTTACTTCTCACCTAATGCTTCACTAACAACAATATTAGCATATTAAATGAGGGAAGTCTTGAGTCAAGTGAGGGCTTACTTCTTTCCTAATGCTTCACTCACAACAATAATAGCATATTAAATGAGGGAAGTCTTGAGTTATGTGAGGACTCCCTCCACTCCTAATGCTTCACTCAATAATAACAGCATATTAAATGACAGAAGTTTTGAGTGATGTGAGGATTTACTTCCCTCACTACAATAATAGCATATTAAATGAGGGAAGTTTTGAGTGATGTGAGGATTTACTTCCCTCACTACAATAATAGCATATTAAATGAGGGAAGTTTTGAGTGATGTGAGGACTTACTTCACTCACTACAATAATAGCATATTAAATGAGGGAAGTCTTGAGTCAAGTGAGGGCTTACCCTACTCCTAATGCTTCACTCACAACAATACTAGCATATGAAGCGAGGGAAGTGTTGATGGATGTGTGGACTTACTTCTCTCCTAATGCTTCACTCACAACAATAATAGCATATTAACTGAGGGGAAATCTTCAGTTATGTTAGCACTTACTTAACTCTTAATTTATTACAACAATAATAGCATAGTAAATGAGGGGAAGTCTTGAGTGTAGTGGTACACTACTATGTGTTAGTGTAGTGGTATGTTACTTTGTGTTAGTGTAGTGGTATGTTACTTTGTGTTAGTGTAGTGGTATGTTACTATGTGTTAGTGTAGTGGTACATTACTATGTGTTAGTGTAGTGGTACATTACTATGTGTTAGTGTAGTGGTACATTACTATGTGTTAGTGTAGTAGTACGTTACTTTGTGTTAGTTTAGTGGTACATTACTATGTGTTAGTGTAGTGGTACGTTACTATGTGTTAGTGTAGTGGTACGTTACTATGTGTTAGTGTAGTAGTACGTTACTTTGTGTTAGTTTAGTGGTACGTTACTTTGTGTTGGTGTAGTGGTACGTTACTATGTGTTAGTGTAGTGGTACGTTACTATGTATTAGTGTAGTGGTATGTTACTATGTGTTAGTGTAGTGTACATTACTATGTGTTAGTGTAGTGGTACGTTACTTTGTGTTAGTTTAGTGGTACGTTACTTTGTGTTAGTTTAGTGGTACGTTACTATGTGTTGGTGTAGTGGTACGTTACTATGTGTTGGTGTAGTGGTACGTTACTATGTGTTAGTGTAGTGGTACGTTACTATTTGTTAGTGTAGTGGTACGTTACTTTGTGTTGGTGTAGTGGTACGTTACTTTGTGTTGGTGTAGTGGTACGTTACTATGTGTTAGTGTAGTGGTACGTTACTATGTGTTAGTGTAGTGGTACGTTACTATGTGTTAGTGTAGTGGTACGTTACT